TGCATGCCAGTAAAAAAAAAATTCTCTATAGCAGACTTCCAATGATAAAGTTTTGTAACACAAACTATTTGAGTTGCATTGGTGTAGCGGCTAGATGCTCACCTGCCAGTGCAAAGTCTTGGGTTCAAATCCATATCGAATCCGTTTTTTTTTTTCTTAATAACCTTGGCTTCAAGGTAAAGTAGTCCTGGGAAGTAAAAGCAGCTGGCATGACTTTGACCAGACAGCTATCGAGTACATTAATATGCCTGGGTCCCCTTCTCAACATATATTATTATTCATTTTGTAATATTGAAGCTATGGCTAGACCTACTGCGACCAATACAGGCATTCTTCTGATGGTACGCAATGGTATGCATAACCAGCACCATTTTTCTAAGGCATAGCTGTTTTTAGTGCTACTGTAATGGACACTTCATAGTAAGAACCATCTTTTCAAAAAAAATTCTTAGACGCTACAAGGTGAGACCAACACATGAGGTTGAGAACTGACCTCTCTTTTCTAGAACAAAAATATCCATAAATATTCAGTGTGCAATGTACCATATAAATACAGCTTTAGTCCAGTTCCTAACAATTCAAATCAAGAATAAGAACTACCACAGATACATTACTTTGATAGCTCCCTCTAGAGCTGGCATTGCCTCATTCAAGTCCCTCTGGGCATCATCGGCAATGGCTTGTGTTTCTGCAGCTTTCTGCTGAGCTTTGCCCTCTTCCACTGCTACAATTTTCTGGACCTTGAAAAGTGAAAGCAGTTTGACAAACCAAAGGAATATTACAGGCCTGCACGAATTAACTGCATCTTTCTGGTGAAAACAACTGCGCACTTTAAATAAAAATAGATACAATACTAGTGATACAGATATGTCTGCGTTTATAAGCACACAAGTTATGACGTTTTCCTTAGTTGCTGCTAGAATATAAAACTTTGATCTAGTCATTCACTGCTACACCAAACATCTGTCCCAGCCTTTACATCGGCTTAGCTGAAAACTGAGAATACTGCAAAAACTGAAAAATACTGCGAATTCAGGTTCCCTATACCAAAGTAACTTACCGACCATAAGAATAACAAGAAGAATTCTGATTGAGAAACTGAAGCAACTAATCATCTGATGTGTTGTAGGAGGCCAGTCGTGCTCCTCATGCTGCCACCAAAATAGCACTGGGCAAAAGCAGTCTCCGCAATTACCCACGGACTGATTCATCCCAGGAAATACTGTATTTCAAATGACTGACCAAAGCTAAGTGATCTTTTAGAACTGTGCATTACATTTTGCTTTTGTGGAGTTACATGTTGATAAGTTTGGTTGGTTGATGTCCAAATGAATGAGATACTCTGAGTGGGTTGTTGTAATAAATGTTTCAATTAATATTACCCAGCTGTCTGATTAAGATGACTGGTATTTGACTGAGTAAATTTGTTATTAGTAAACTGATTTACAGTTGTGATTTCCACCATATAATTTCAGTTGCTACTTGCTACTTAATTATTCATAGGTTTTGTTTTGAAGAATATTTAATTATTCAGTTATTTTCTGGGGATTTAACCTATACATTTATTCATCTGAGTTGTCAGATCTTATTGACTTTCCTCCCATCCTTTGAACTCAGGGACCAATAAATTTACCCCAGACAATTTTATTTCAAGCTCAGTCAGTCATTAACATAGGAGGGATTATAGGGGATCTGCAGGCAATGATACATTCTGCAAACAACACCTACGACAGCAGACAGAGATAAAAATAATTAAAATGTTAAAAATATGATAAATAATAAATAACAGTAACAAGTCTACCTTTGACAAAACACTTCTAAATTTACGCAAAACCCCATGAACTAAATATGTACACAGCTAGAGATAAATAAACTTCTTTTTTTTCAGTGCTTTAGGGCTTTTCTCTTCTGGTGATACACAACTGTACGCAGTTCTGGCACTTTTTTTTTTTTAGGCATCATTTTTTTTTTACAGTTTTAAAAAAGCCCTGTGTCTGCCTAGATTTTATTTCTCTACTGTTTTGGAGTGCCTCATGGCCTACTTCAACTTGTGTGTAGGCAGTTTCTGTCTCTCTGTTATCTGCAATTCTCACTATATACACCAATCACTGCATCAGGGTTTAGAACCAGTGAGCACAGAGAAGAAGAAGACCAGTAAACACTGGACCATTACCCTGACAGGCCTGTGCTCTACCAACTAAGAAATCCCTTGCTCACATTTTCAAAATTTTCATTTTTATTTTCCCTCCATGACTGCAGATTGTAGGATTGACATCTCAAGGATGAGAATCAAACAGGTTCAAATCTTACAAAAGTCATTCAACCCTGTAAAAGTTATACTGAAGCATACACAGTTTCTAAGTAACCTATAGGGCACATACATGGGTATACTGCTCAAACAGCAGACCGTCTTATGTTGGTTTCAAAAGTAACATCTAGAGATGACTGCTGTGAAAGCAAAGGTAAAATCTGATTACAAAAACCACAACAGCCAAATCATGCTGGGGTTGATTCTGCAACGTCCTGTAAAGGATGCGCAACTAACTATATTGTTCACAAACGGCATCCGGCATCCTGTCCTGACAGCTAAGGTATTTTGGCCATGATAAACATCATGGTGGCATGGATATAACAATGATGAGGGTAGTTTCAGGAAAAACGAGGCAGAAGCTGACCCCGGTGAGTGGATACAGAACACTGAAGATGCTTTGGCTATGAAAGCACATAGGGCTAGAGAACTGGCTAGAGAAAGAGAGACTTTTAGGCATGCTGTGACAAGAGTGATGTTCTATAAAGGACCTGGTGATTGATAATGATGTTATTACTCTTACTGTTAATGTTAAGTTACAAGGATCCACTAAAGACCTACCACATCAGCCTTTTCCTGGTCCACCTTGAGTTTCTCCATCAGTAGTGCTGTGTCTGCTGATTTCTGTTTCAACTCTGGTTCCAGTGCTACCAGTTCTTTCTTCATCGTGTCTACCAGGTCGTTTGTCTCAAACAGCTTTGTCAGGCCATTTTTCACTCTCTCTCTGGCCCGCTTGATGTGACTTTATCATAATGATTAATAGACAAACTTTTAAATATTGCGGACACAAACAATACATAACACAATTTATTGCCAGGTATATTGAGTCCCAGACAATTGTTTTACACATGAATGGACACTGTAGATGTAGAGTAGGTAATCTAGATGTGTAATCTGACATTTTGGAGCAAAAATGGAGATAGCCTAAAAAATGACCCAAAATTGAAAAATTTTCCCTAGTCTATCTATAGCAGAACTCTAGTTTAAGCAAATGATAGGTTAAGGTGACTTACCATGGTAACATTCAATTAAATAAATTCTAACAAATAGCTGTCTGCTTACAAAGGAGGGGGTTTACCATGGTTGAAATTTTACAAATTCCGTCTGCTTACAAAGGAGGGGGTTGTTGATTTTAATTGTGAAAGATACACAGCAGAATGAATGAAACAACTGGGAGGCAGACAAAACTTAGGAAACCATTCTAAAACAGGGATTCCTGGGGAATGACTTCTTTGAATGATGCTCTCAGCAAATGGCTAGTCTTTCTGAAGAAAGAGAGCAAGCCACATGGGATAACAGTTTTATCTTCTCTACTTTAACACTGGCTAGCAAGTTTGCCCTGCCTGAAGTTAACAGGTTTGGTTCCTCAATTCCCTGTGTGGGTTCTGGGGCCCCACTGGGGGGGGGGGGGGGGTGTTGATAGCCCCAGTGCTTTCTTCCCCAACAAGCATGTCATAACAGTTGACTAGTTAGGGTTGCTTCCTTCAAAGTAGGAATGGGAATGCATCTACCTTAGAGGTGAGGAACTAACAGTCTGCACACAAAAAAGCCACTTGTGTAAAATGGTGTGCACACAAAACTCATGTTGTGGAATAAGACTAGAACAGTCCAGAAGTGGATGAAACAAATAGAGCTTTCTGTTGGAATTTACAGCCAGTAAACGCCAAGAAGAAGAAGAATCCTCATTATGCCAGGAAAAAAATTATCAGGGCTTCCAGACTAACCCAGCTTAAAAATAATCAGAATATGTTCTGAGAAAAAAAAAGTGATCAACATGATAATGAATGACTAGCTTGACAATGAATAAATCCCAATCAAGCCCCAGTCTGCCTTCAGATAAACTAGGTGACACCATATCACTGAAACAAAAGCTCCCCCAACAGTGAAACAAGACTGCCTTCTTACATCCGGCTTTTGCTTTGCAGCTCCTCTTCAACCTTGCATTGCATACATCTTACAGACAGCTTCCAGCGCCCACCTCAGCAGTCAAGATTTGAAAAATGCTATACTTTCTGAGTTATATGCTATTCTTTTCCATTTTTTATTTTTTTATTTAGGTAGTTCTATGTTAAAATATCACAGAAACAATTCGCCCACAAATGCTAAAGTAAGACTGCTTTTTTGCATTTGGTTTATACTTTATCAATGCTCTCTGTACAGAGAGCTTTCAGGATAGCAGATAAGATAGTAGATAAGATAGCAGATATGAATAGCAATTAGGTACATTTAATCTGTCTGAAATGTTATATCTTATCTGGCCTAAAACATAAATTTCTCAAATACGCCAGTAGCATTACCACTATTTACAAAGAAAAAAAAGGGACATTTGAAAATCTTGATGAGTATTTGAAATATGATTGCAGCTCCCTATTTTTCATAGATCAACTGTAGAGGAGATGCCAGCCCCCTTTACTTACCAATTATATTTTATATATCTGCCTTGAGCAGGATTCAAACCTAAGACTGCTAGGCCAGCATACAACCCACTGTATCACAAGGCTTCCTTTGAAATATTCAAGTATCATTACTGTCTTTTTATGAAATAAAAATGCTGACACCAATAATGAACATAGGCCACTCCATACCTGGCTTTCTGTTCTGCCATTCCAAGGTAAGGTTGATTAATTCCAAGTATGAAGTAGGCGTGGTGTAGTATCTCCTCTTCAATTCTTTATAGAAACGCTCAGCCATATCAGTCACTGACACATGGATCTCCACACACATCTTGGACACATTTTCCTTTGTATACATAGAATATATTTATTACAGAAATCATCATAGACATTTCTTGAACAGAGAAAATCAGTTTATTACAGGCAGAATTTTGGACGCACTTTTGTTTGAAAAAAAAAATAGTATTCAATATTAGATGAATAAGAAGACTTTATCTTTTAATAAAGAATTGATAGCTACCACACATTATGTTACTAATTAGTCAACTGTCCATGATCAATTGCCATACATCAGAATTAGTGCTGCACAACTCCTTTCCACTTTAATTCACAAAGATAAATACGAAGAATATTTTCATCCTGTGAAATGTCCCTTTTGCTTGAGCTATTCTACATATAACTCATTTTGAATCTATACTGTGTGTACACACACACACACACACACACACATATATATATATATATATACATATATGTATACACACATATATATATATATATGAACAAAGAAGACACAAACAATAGACTACACAATTTATTGCCTGGCATATTTTGCTGTATCTCGTCAGGTGCATACTACAGTAACAAGTTATTAAAATGAAGCAAATAGCTGAATCCTAGAAACTGAAACACAAATTTGAATACATTCTACACTGTCTGTTTCACCAAGGTAACCTTAAGGAAACTACCATTTCTTTCTGCCTACAGAGATCTGGTTTCAACCGGTTGATCACGGAAGCTTCCTCATATCGGAGTAATCTACGGTTGGCTGAATTGTAAATAATTCTAAATGCATCATTCCTGCTAATGATGTGCCCAGAATTTAGAATATGGCACGCAATTGCTGATGATGGATTTTGTCGACCAGTCACCTGATTCGTTGTTGTTGAGGTGTTAGTGTTCTGCATTGCTTTTACCACTCATAGTGGAATATGTTCAGCAACCCGTTTCTCCAGTTGTCAATCAGTTCTGCCCACATATGCAGCGATACAGGTGCATTTAAATTGGTATGTACAGTTAGATCTGGCGTCGACGTACGAGATAGGTTCAAGGAGTACATTTTACAATATCCTTCAGTAGCTTATGTTTATTTTTTTTTTTTTAATGTAGCCAGGTGGCCACTGCCAGTTATGATTTACTTGTCTAGCTCCACTAACGGGAAAAATCTGGCATGCAGGAGATCAAGAGTTGCTAAAAAATTGATGCACACAGAAAATTGCCTATTCAGCTTCCCGCATTCTGAATGCGCTGGTCACCCGGAGTCCAGGAACTCCCAGCCAGCGGCAACTGCAAGCACATGGGCATAGCAGCATGGGGTAGGCAAGTGAGCGATGGTAGGCTGATTGATTTCATGGTGGTAATATGTCTATGGTTAGATCTAAATTTCCATCATAGTTAAAGCTGAATTTGTCTTCCGTAGTTAAACTGCATAGAGCTAGATATATCAGTGTGTATCATCACTCGGAGATATTTGATTTTAGAAGTGAATTTTCACTTTTGTAAGTTGAAGGCTTAGCACTTGGTGTATGTGGGCATGAGGTTAATTGTTAATGTAAAATTATATGTGAAACAATGTTGATTTTGTTCAGTAAAATAAACAGATGTTTAGTGTGATAATTATAGTTCCAGTAGTTTTGATTTGGATTAGGACTTGTAGTTAGTGTGCCTAGTTTTACTATCACTGCTGATTAAACTTCATACAGAACATATTCTGTCAGAGCTAGAACACTATTGGTCTAAACCCCCACCAAACAAACTTTTTCTCTTTTTTTTTTTCCTTCTTGTTACTGAGGCAGCCTGAGTGTGGGTTTACTTACACTCACCACAAAATGTTTGTTGAAGCTCTTCTAGGTTTGGAGTAGAGATAGGTTCAAGGAGTACATTTTACAATATCCTTCATATTATCTCCTCCTTTCCTCTTAGAGAAGACCCCCCTTAAGCTTTGTTTTTGGTACATTAACAATGTACTATCAGATTCTTCTTCTTCTGGCTTCTTTCCCCTTTGAAGCATAGGTCATCAACCAACCCATGCCAGGTCATTATATCTTTTGCTATTACAAATCAGATTATCAAAGTAAAATGTATCATGGGTTTACTTAAGGAAAAGATGCATTTATTATAAGTAGAGGTAATAAACCATGTTTTGCAATTATTTTATAATTAGGAAAAAAAGTGACAACTATATTTTATTTTTTAGCTGGATTTCTTTCAACGAAATACCTTAATTTCATCTGAACATCCTAGATCCACAGATTTAAAGAATGTCTGAGCTACACCAAGAAGTGCCTCTCGTGGCCACTCAATAAACCAATCAATGGTACAGCAGTTGACCAGTGATGGAAACATGCGGCAACGGGCCCTGAAGGCACTGCCGACTGGAGACATGCACAGCACAATGTGTAAGTTGTTTCTGGAAATTAAAAAATAAAAACATTTTAAAAAGTAAATAAAAACTTTTTCATCCATCAGTCATATCTCTTCGTTCCTCTTCTTCTTTGTTCACCAGCTGTAAGCTCCAGTGAAATGTCCTGGCTGTTCATCCATTTGGACTTAGGCTTTGTGCCAGGGCTGAGTTTTGCATATGCATCCATTTTACTGGCTTATTTGTATGCAGTTCGCTGTTCCTTGCCATCTGGGAAGATGCACTCCAGCTTTGAAGGAAACCCCTTTTTCCCAATTAGTGGATCCCTATGACCTGCTTGTTGGGGAGGCAGTGGGTCTATTCCTTTTTTTTTTCCCCACAAAGGGACCCCGGAACTCATGGGGGGACATGAGACATATAATGTTGGACTCATATGTGTTATAGATAAACTGGCTTTAGGTGAGTGTTAACATCTGCCGACTGCTTTTAAAGTAAAGGACCCATTTCCCTGTAATTAGACTATTGGGCATACAGTGCTAGACCTTAATTTTATAGACCTGTCAGCACTTAGTAGGTGATGTGGTCACCATGCCAGCAGCACCTTTACTCCCCAAGACTTTACTCTGGGCTGGGTTGACCTAGAAGCCAAAAAAGTTTTTGAAAAATTGGGTTCGACCTGTATTTGAACCTACAATCTTCAGGCCTCAGGCAAGCGTCTAACTGCTACACCACAGCAGCTCCCTGCTGATTGCCTTCACTTCCCATAACATTTTTCCTGGCACAAATTGTAAACCAGGTTGAACTGGAAGCCAAAGTAAATTGTTATAAAAAATCAGTTCTGGCCACCAGGCAAGCATCAAGCCACTGTGCTACTACTGCAACTAACATTTCTGGAAACAGGAGTAAACTTTTAGCAATCATCGTCATCAGTATCATCAAGTGCCTTGCTGACTGACATGGGCGATCATGCTGCTACAAAATCTGCCATGTTTAACAGCTTGTATCAGTTTGTATGTTGACACTCCTCCATGCCAAGACAAACAGCTGACAAAAATTGTCTCCTATGGTCTTTCTTGATAATTTTATTCCACAGATCTTTGCTGTGGTCACAACGTTTACCAGTTTCCTTCTTCTCATAACATGATTTTAAAAAAATGATCATCTCTTTCTGATAAGTTGTCTTTAAGCCCTCGCCTCTTACAAAATATCTGGGTTACTCTGTTTGGCTGTCCAATGAATTGAAAGGTTTTTTTCTGTGAAACAACATCTCTGGGGCATCAAGAAATTGTCTGGCTTGTTTATTAATTTTACTAAGCAATTTTACATTCAGCAGTTTTTCATTGCTTTATGAAGTCAGCTCTTAAAACCATTGTTTAAACCAAATTCAAGGTGAAAGGCGGTCTGCTGCCAAATCATCAGCAGCTGAAGACTAGACCTGAAACAGTCATGCAATTCATTAAAGAGCAATATATGAAATTGTTTGGATATCCAAGAATACCTTGGTACCATCTACCATACAGAACTATGTAAAAGAAATTCATGATCACCAGGTGAGAAGACCAGGCAAAAACTGGAATAGCACCAATAGCAGTCTTGGAAAAATGACCTATTGTTGCTAACAAGTTGTCTGTGTTGGGCATAGGTTCAGCATCTAACTTTGTTACTGAACTGATTTTTCCAAAGTCTACACGTACAAGCACATAACCGTTTTGTGTGTGTGTGTGTGTGACAATAACCACAGGTGATGAATAGCATGAATCTGATTTTGCTATCATTTACACAAGACATTAGAAACAGCATTTAAAAAACTCCCCCTCTCCAAAAAACTGTGATCAGGTCTTCAGACAAAGAGAAGAAGAAAGAATTTCTAGCTTTACAATCAGTGAACAAAACACCCCCTTTTTTTTTTTTAAACAAACAACAAAATGTAGAAGAAGAAAAAACAGCAAACATTAATCATAAGCCACTTTATTTTTTTTTTATTTATCATTATCATTATTATTTTAAAGTTTTCTTTTGCAGGATTTCAGTCTGTAGGATTAACATCTCAAAGATGAGAATCAAACAACTACAAATCCCAGAAATCTCATAGTCCAGCAATACTGGGGCACAAAAGAATGGTCAGAAGTAACCTGCAGTCTAGTGTGAGTGGGTTATAACTGTGTCAAACTGACAACCCACCTTACTGACTGAATACAGAAATCATATATGGCATCCCTATTCCCTTCTGGAATACCAGCTTCCTTGGCTCTGGGTCGACATCCAATGATCAGTCTCTCATACTCGTCTGGTTCAAACAGGTTGGGAACCTCTCCAGAGTTGAGTATGTTGTTGATATCCTCTAAAAACTCCTCCACCACAATCTGAAATGAAAATTTTTTTTTTAATCACTGGCTAATTACCAGATCAACTTATCAATGTTTATCTAGCATGTTCCCCATGAGGTTAAGCTCTTTTTAAATCAGAAGAGTAATCAGCAGTTGTACAAGGGGACATTACCCACAATGGAGACTCCTGAATGTATTACATTCTTCTACTTCTTAGCATTCACAGACTGTAAACTGATGGAAAGTTTAGGTTCTTCATCAACTTCTGAACTCTAGTCCTGTTCCAGAAATTGAGTTTTGTGTGCACAGATTTGGCTTATTCATAAGCAGACTGTTGGTTCCTTGCCCCTCAGGCAGATGCACTTGACTTTGAAGGAAAGACCCATAATTAGTCGGCTTTTACTACTTGCTTGTTGGGGGCAGTGGGTCTATTCTTTTCAACCCCAAAAGTGGGGCCCTGGAACCCTCACGATTAGTATTACCTTCAAAGAGGCCTTAACTGTGTTGCAGGTTAAAATGTCTAGCCACGTTTCTTCAATCTGTATTGACTAAATGAAAAACATTACCCCACATAGTGCACTGTTGATGACAGAAAAAGTTTACTTCAGTTGTCCTACCACTTATGCTGTAAAGCATTGAAGAGAGGAGTTAGATGCATTTTCCTGTCTTTTGCTAGTTGCGTAGGCTTGTGTTAACATCATACTGTGTTTCTATATGTCTCTTTCACTCCCTCCACCCATCTCTTGCCTTGTAGTCTGCAGTTTTCATGTAGGAAGCACTGATTTTTTTTCCAGAGGACCAAACCATTTGATTCTATATGTTCCATGAAATCATTCGCTGGTACTGTGCCTATTATTGCTCTTAGTTCTTCACTGGTGACTCTATCTCTTCTTGACAGAAAAAGTAAAGTGGAGAAATGATGTTTATGATTTATTTCTACACTGGGACATTTTCACATATTTAGCCCAGTATATCTTGTAGGTAAGTACATAAGTAAAAGACCCTTTTCCCACCACCCATGCATCATGCATAGGTGCTAAACTTATTTTTCACAGACCAGTCAGCATTTGATGGGTGTTGTCATAAATATAACACCAACTTCCTTTACTTCCCTGGACATTTGCTAGTAGATCCTTACATCTCTAAATTCTTGTTAAAAGTGCTTGGGATTTTTCTTTCTGTGGTCATCCTAGAAATAGGTTACCTACTGTGTAAAAAAAAAAAAAAAAATGTGAGGTGGCTCCAAGTTGTAGCGTGTTTGCTTTAGAGTCAAGAAACCAACAGTCAGCACATAACTAAGCCTGATCTTTTCAAACAGATGTGTGCAGGACACTCCAGTCCTGAAAGAAGATTAAAGTGCAGTCATGGACAAACAGCCTGGGGCTTTCTGCCAGAGTTCATAGCCGGCAAAGGAAGAAGTATAGTATAGTAGAGGAGCATTTTCTGCTCGTTTAGGTATGTCGGGTATATAATGCTAGTCCTATATTTTACAGACCAACCAACACTCGAGGGGAGGGAGCGATGTGGTCAACATCATGCTGACTGACTTTACTTTCTACAACTTTACCTTGCACCCATTTTGTGAAAACATCAAATAATAACAACTACTGAAACATAAAAGGAGCGGCTAGCTGAGCTGTTACAATGTCAGGTTCTCATTTGGGAGATGCAGGTTCGACCCCCCCCACCAGTAAGGTTAGGGAGTTTTTCTGTCAGGGAGCAACATCAAACATCTTAACCTGCACAATCCGTTGCGACAGTACTAGCCATTCGGCCATAAATCCACACACTGATGGTAAAACAGACAGTAGTGAAAGCAACAGTAAAACTGAAATATAAATGAAATTTCACCTGGGTATCAGTGAAAAGAAAGACTGTGGGTGTATTTTTGATACCGGCAAAGTCATACAGCTTCTTTAGGTCATTATGGAAGGATGAGTAGTCATAGCCACGACAAAGCTCAACCTGGAAACACTGGTATCCACAAATGTGAGCTGAAAGTCTGGGAATTAAAAAAAAGTTAATTTGGGATCAAAACAACTGTTATTGCAAGTAATAAATACCTGGAATTTTTTTTCATACATTGTCATGTTGTGCCTTTATTCGTCACATAGGACTCGTAGTCTGTAACTCCATTCTGTTCTGTCCTGTGCAATCGTGGATAGGATCCAGTCCAGCAAATCTGGCTTCTTTCATCTACATTCACGTTAGGGTTTCTCTTGAACATCCTAGTTTCCTGAGTCTCTCTAATTCTCATTTCAATGACTGTCTGGTGATTCTCTGTCTCTCTCTTCTCAGAATGTGTCCAACATAGCACCCTACAACTGTTGACACTAGTGACTGCCCAACCATTTCTCTTTTTTTCTTCACTCCTCTTTTATGTTCATCATTTTCCCCAAGGAATTCATTTTCAAATGCATTTATCTTTCATTCCCTAACTTTAGTAGTTCTCTAATGTTTTTTTTCACTTCAAATATGCGGAATCCTGGAGTTTCCTAGAAAGTCCAGTTTTATAGGGATATTACAGTCTGAAATGAACACCGACTAACCCAACACCCTTGTTCTTCTTCTTCGTGTTTACCAGCAGTAAACTCCGGTGGAAAGTTCTGCTTGTTCGTCCAATTCTGGACTCTAGTCCTGTTCCAGAAACTGAGTGTTGCATGCACATCCATTTCACAGGTCTGACTCATCTGCATGCAGACTATTGGTTTCTTGCCTCTCCAACTTCAAAGAAAACACCCTTATAATAGTGGACTTTCCCGAAAACTCTGGGATTCCCGGTGTTTGGCATGAATAAAAATTAGGAACAGACAATCCTAAAGCTTCAGCCTAGCAGATTTCTAACTGACCTTGTCAGTGACTGTTTTCCGGTGCCCCCAACTCCAACCAACAAAGCATTTCCTCTCTCCTGCTGAATCATCCTCACAAGACGAGTTATATGCTCTATAGCATCCAGGAAGAAGACTAGTCTCATCTCTTTCGGTGACTGCATGTTCAAATCATCAAGGTACTGAAGATAATGTACAGAAAAATATGAAATACACATGTGAGGAACATACATGAATACTGACAACATCTAATTATATAAGTAATAAAAACTGAAGAAAACATCTTTGACATCAACCACTCCTAAAAATACTGTCATTCAAAAGTGATGTCTTTACACTGTAGACAAATCCACAGTTGCTCAGTCACCACCACCATCATCATTAGAGTCCCATAACACCACATGTCATTAGGTCTCCAGTTTCAGTCGACTGTCTGATGAGTACCATCCATCTCTGTTGGTCAGGTGCAATGGACACTTGATGTTTGCATATCTGAGGCCTGTCAAGACAGCCAAATTCAGGTCTTTTTTTTATCTTCCTCTTTCCCTCTTCCATTCTACCAAGCCACATAGTATTATTTGTCAGTTATTACAAATTTCAAAAATGATAGAATGAATTATGACTGTTTCCATGACACACTGTGTCTAAAGTTGCATAGTTGTTTTCACTTCTGTTTGCCGGTGTAAACTTTAGCGGAAAGTTCTGGTTGTTAGTCAACTTCTGGACTCTGGATTTGCTCCAGAACTTGAGTTTTGCATGCACAACCATTTACAGACTTAATTATTTTGCATACAGATTGTTGGGTTCTAACCTCTAAAGATGCACAATTTAGAAGGAAACTCAGTTAATCAGTCACTTTTTTACAACATGCTAGTAAGGGAAGCAGCGGGTCTGTTCTTTTTTTTGGGTCCCTAAATTGTGGTCCCAAACCCACACAAGTACAGCTTCATTAACCTGTATGGTGGTAGCTGCTGCTTTTGTCTAGTTACACTTATAATTCCAACAGACTCAGTTTCCCATTTCCCCCTCTTGTCTTGTGGTTTACAGTGAATTTGCACACTGCATCTAGCTCTAATCTGAATGCAAATTGGAATCAAGTTCAACTCCTATTTCCCCCTTTAAACCAAAATGTAGTGAGCCAAATACCTTGACTTCTCAGACAAGGATGAAAAAAATAGAAAGATCCCTGAGCCTTCTGTGTACACTAGTCATAAAAATATGGATCTAGTACAATCTGCCCCATACACCATTGGTGCATGTAAGGCTCATTTACTTTTACTATGTACTTACCTTACAGAAGAATGTGAAAGTACAACATAATATAAGAGAAACTACAAAGGATTAATATTACTGAAGACTGTTGTGAAGTTTTCAGTCAAAGGTAATCAGTTAATCAAAGTTATAACTTCATAGCAAACAGTCACCCCATAGTTGCTTTTTTTCTGTGTCAATGAAAACCACACAAAATGTCCATCACTGTCCCTTGTGAAAGAAAATTGATGGAGACTGCATTTTCAGCATCTAATAGCATATACATGCATTAAATGCATAAAACAACTGTCAGAAGTGCCAACACAAACAGTCCATTACTAGAAATGCAGTTCATCATTGATGGAAGCAGCCATTAAATTAGACCAATAGTTGCACACACAATTGATCGCATATAGCTCCATCAGTTTTCTGGCAATAGACCAGTTATCATTTTCTGAACGTGCAGTTCACAACACAGACTACATTGGGCACAGTCCACAGTCAACTAAATCACACTTACCTCACCAAGAATATTTTTCAGTTTATTCAAGTCATTCATTTCATCATAGAATCTTTCTTCGATAGGAACACCCATTTTTATGAAATTTCCAAACAGAATGGGAGATGTTACAAATGATTTTGGCTCAACACTCTGAAAAAGTATTAGTCATGAACCTTACATGTCTTACAATTATGACATATGTATACATACACAGGGTGATCTAAAAGTTTTTAGATGATTTGTTTAAAAAAAAGTACAATGCATTAAATCTAGAGTCTGACACTGTAATGTCATACCTTCATGTTGGACTAGGGAGACATTTTGAAGATTGTCTATGATGGCTGAAGATTGTCTATGATGGCTGAAGATTGTCTATGATGGCTGAAGATTGTCTATGATGGCTGGTATCCATATGTGGGTCCAGGCCCCATTTTGGGACTCAATCCCCTCTAAGAAGCATGTCACCAAAGGCAATTAATTTGGAGTGTTTCTTTTAAAGTTAGAGTGCATCTGCCTGAGAGGCAAGGAACCAACAGTCTGTATAAAAATAAGTCAGATCTGTAAAATGGATGTGCATGCAAAACTCAAGTTCTGGAACAAGACCAAAGTCCAGATGTGGATGAACAACCAAAACTTTCTGCTGGAGCTAACAGCCAATGAACACTAAGAACAAGAAGAAGAAGAAGACTGGCTGCTAGTTGAAGTTATCACAACAGATGCAGCAACAACCAGACAGATGCTCAAGTTTGGGTTCAAGTGTGGTTCCACAGCTCGATGGAGGTAAAAAAGGGATAACCCAATGTGTTTAAGAGCATTGTGCTACACCAATGATCAGCACCTACATTCTATATTTACTGCAGGAGATTGTTCCTCTATAAGTTCACCTGAGTACAATGATGATGATTTTTAAAACTAAAAACAATAACACAACTTGTTTCAGAACTGTATTCAGATCCTAACAGTATGAGACAAAGAGAAATTAAGATGCAGAAGACTGAGTATCCTTTAAAAAACATTATGACCCTTTAATAACTTAAGACAGACAACACAGAAAAAAAATCAAGTTCTCCTGTCATAAAATGTGTTGTATTAGTTCATCATTGATAAAGACTTTGGTCAAAATATTTGGTTTACTTGTCCATGACTTTTCCATTCCCTCCTCTTAGCTTTCTATTCACACTTTACGTTGTAATCGGTGTCAGTGGCTTAAGCGTTGTGAAAGAGCTTTGCATGGCAGGGTGCCGGACTGAATACAGGGCTCAATACCACCTGCAGGCTTTTTGGTAGCTGATCATCTTGCAGTGGTTTTGACAGTGTTATCAAGAGTCACTATTCAGAAGCAATGGCAAACTACTGATCATAAATTTGCCTAGAAAAACCACAACAGCTAAAAAAATGCTGGGTTTGGTTCTGCAACATCCTCTATCTCCTGACTTCAGTAACTGTCACAACCCTGTGAGTACAGTCAGTGGCGGAATGTACCACACCGTAAGGTGTGCGTGTTAAGGTGACACCCCAGGGTTGACACAAAGGTCAGGGCCGTGACTGGTCAAGTCCGTTCTGTGATTGCACAGCGAAACCAGCGCTCAGGATAAAGCTTTTGTCCACGGCAAGAAAGAGTGAACGCTGTTGGAGACAAGTCGACAGCACGATGACCGCTTTTGGGACTGAGCTGGTGAACGGGGTCAAGAGACACGAGGGAGAGAGAACACAGGACATTCGATGTGCGTCGGTCAGGAAGGGAGGACGTTTAGCAAGACAGTGATAGTATTAGAGTTAGGATATTTCTGTTAGTGACTGGATAGTTTATGTACAGTGTTGTGTTAGAGTAGGATAGTTCTTGTGTAGAGTATTTATGTACATGTTTTGTGAGAGAATGTCTAACCTTGACACTCTGACCCTGCACTAAGTCAGAGACTGTGACAGGTTGGTTGGTCAGCGTGTCAATAGGTTAGAGCGTATCTCGTGACCGTATGGTTTGTACACCAGGAGATTGCTTGTGGACGTACTGGAAGTGAGGCGACTGTAAAGCTCGTTCGGCCAGAGGGTCCAGGCAATAGGTGGCCACACAGGGGGAAGTCAACTGTCTATTGTCTTACCTGTACTTACAATAAAGATTGTCGTGTGTGCTCTGTGTGCGTTCGGGTTCAGTGTGTGTTAAAGGTTAGTCTGTCTGTCATAGGCCTAGTTACGAGCCACGGACCAGCAAGGTCATACCAGTTTTAAAATAGGTGGACTGGAGAAAAGAGTTTTGATTTTGGTGAAAGCCTGATCTAGTTCTCGGTTCCACTCAATTGTATTAGAAGATCCCTTTTTTAATAATTTAGTGAAAGCGGCGGTTTCTTGGCTGAAGTTCGGTATAAATTTGTTGTAATAATTGATGATTGACAATTTAAATGAAAGTTAGATTGTACTTTTACAAGGGCACTCACATGAAGAGTTAATGATGTTGTAACTAATATTGCACATATGGAGACTACATTTGAGGAGTAGCACTATCCTTGGAGGATGGGAGTGTTTCCAACTGGCCACAGATTTGTTTACTACCTATTTTGCACTGTGGGTCATATGGGGTGATTAGCGTCTTGGCAGGTACTGCGGATTCGCGGACACATTATACGACTGTAGGTCGGGGAGTCAGGTCATGATTCCTTTTCACAACCATGGACAAGTCTTGTGGAGATAGTCCATGACGCCCACTGTTATAAATCACGGTGTCGTTGGTTAAACGGCTTGGGAGTGTATACAGTGGCGTCTTACTTGCACAGTAAGTGAGGTAAGGTGTAATTGGGTCCCGGATGATTTGAGTGTCCACCCAAATTATTATTTATATCATTACCCATATGATTTGAAGGTGTAATTAGTAGTGACGTGTTTGTGTCAAGGGCTGATACCATTTCTACCCATTAGGGAGGGGCTTACCCATTGAATGTATATACCCATTAAATATGTGCCAGATAGTTTGTCTTTAGGTGATTGACCCAAAAGTACATGACTTATTTTTCTTTAGGTAACTAAATGTTGACGATAAAATTTAAAAAGATGACTGTACATGATGGCAGGCCATGCTTTGCTGATACTTGACTTTGTCAGGAAGTATCAGTTCAGAGGAAGGGTGAATGTCACAACCCTGTGAGTACAGTCAGTGGCGGAATGTACCTCACCGTAAGGTGTGCGTGTTAAGGTGACACCCCAGGGTTGACACAAAGGTCAGGGCCATGACTGGTCAAGTCCGTTCTGTGATTGCACAGCGAAACCAGCGCTCAGGATAAAGCTTTTGTCCACGGCAAGAAAGAGTGAACGCTGTTGGAGACAAGTCGACAGCACGATGACCGCTTTTGGGACTGAGCTGGTGAACGGGGTCAAGAGACACGAGGGAGAGAGAACACAGGACATTCGGTGTGCGTCGTTTAGGAATTGAGGACGTTTAGCAAGACAGTGATAGTATTAGAGTTAGGATATTTCTGTTAGTGACTGGATAGTTTATGTACAGTGTTGTGTTAGAGTAGGATAGTTCTTGTGTAGAGTATTTATGTACATGTTTTGTGAGAGAATGTCTAACCTTGACACTCTGACCCTGCACTAAGACAGAGACTGTGACAGGTTGGTTGGTCAGCGTGTCAATAGGTAAGAGCGTATCTCGTGACCGTGTGGTTTGTACACCAGGAGATTGCTTGTGGACGTACTGGAAGCGAGGCGACTGTAAAGCTCGTTCGGCCAGAGGGTCCAGGCAATAGGTGGCCACACAGGGGGAAGTCAACTGTCTATTGTCTTACCTGTACTTACAATAAAGATTGTCGTGTGTGCTCTGTGTGCGTTCGGGTTCAGTGTGTGTTAAAGGTTAGTCTGTCTGTCATAGGCCTAGTTACGAGCCACGGACCAGCAAGGTCATACCAGAGGTCTGTGACAGTAATCTCCTATTTGTATCATCACTAAAGAAATCAAGACAAAACAATAACCACACTGCATATATTACCCTTCACTAGGTGTGTTCATTCATAACATAACACAACATATTACAATTATAATGCAATGTAGTAGTGCTGCAGGTATCACATTTGCCCGCTGCCCAGTGGTCTTGCGACTGGATCCTGTTTAAAATTGTTTAGTGTTTTAAGCTTCTAGGTCAAGTCTGCCTCAAATAGGTGCAAGGAAATGTTCTGAGACATTCCGGACATTATACTGACCTTTTCATTTTTCAAGGGCTTGATAGTCTATACCAGTGGTTCCCAACCGGTAATCCATAAAAACAAATTTAAGGGGTCCACGATATCATTTAGAAAATTTAAAAAAATACTAACCCCCAACCCTCTGTTGTTGTTTTTTTTAATTTGTTTTGTTGCGATTCTGAAATGGATTTTTTAGACATAGAACAAAAGTTAAATGCATTTGATAACAAATTCTTGAGAGAAATTTTGAACATAAAATGGGATGAATTAAAAAAAGGTGAAGCAATCTGAGAAATGTCTAGGCAACAGTTATAAGACAAAGATGGTATATCAGACATATCTCAAGAAGAAACTAGCCGAGAATCATCAGACAGGTATTATAATGTAGAATAAAGGGGCTGAGGAAGCGAGGATGAGCAAAAGAAACTCTAAAATGCATTTGATGAGAGAGGCAAAGAGGCCAAAGGTGCTGGAATGGATTCCACTCATGATACAGAATAGAAAGGAATAGAGAATAGACTGCAAGCCCTATGTGATATACAATCAGACAATAGGACAGTGATGATGATGATGATGATAAATTTAGATCAACTCTTTTTGTGTGTGTGCATGTGTGTGTGTGTATAAGTGCAGGCATGCACGCGTGCATGTGTGTGTGTGTGTGAGAGAGAGAGAGAGACTATTAACAAGCAAAGGGTCCATGGCACACCCTGAAAGATAAAAGGGACTGCAGGTCTGTCTAACTGGGAACCTCTGGTCTATATAAATGTAAGGCTATTATTACATAGCTTTCCTTTAAAGTTGGAGTGCATCCGCCGGTGAGGCAAGGAACCAACAGTATATATGCAAGAGAATGGGATCTGTAAAACTGATGCACACGCAACACTCAGGTTCTGGAGCAGGACTGCAGTTCAGTAGTGGACGAGCAACCAGAACTTTCCGCCACAGTGTACAGCTGGTGAACGTCAAGAAGAAGATTACATAGCTGATACACCTGGGGGGCACGGAAAAGGCTGCTCAACTTACTTTATGTTACACTTGACTAGCTTTGCTCACTCACACTCATGCTGACCTTTTTCTGTCATCCCAGACATCAGTGTTATATAGTGCAATGGGGGCGGTGGGGGGCATACCAATCACAGCCTGTGGCGATCCTCTCCATAACATAAAACCTAGGCAGTGTGGTAGAAACCACATGTTGCCTATGTAAGCACGATCCCTATCTAGGTATATCTTTTTTACTCTAAAGGAAAGGTAACACCAATACAATTTACCATAAAACAAAAAAATGCTGATTGATTTAAAAAAAACAGTGCTACGTCCATCCAAAAGTCGAAGCTTCCTTTCTAGACCAGCTACATACAACCAAAGATAAGGGCCTCGTCTGCCTTGCTATACAATTATATTTTCAGGTAACTCACAAACATACCACATCTATTACTAGCTTTGTTTGCTCAAGAATCTAGCACTAGATTTCATACATAAAATAAAATCGTAAGCTGTACAGCAAAAAATAAAAGAGCAAGAAGAAACAATCCTACTTCATTGAAATGCTTTGCTGTCATCTCTGCCATAATATTGTGGAAAAACATCTTGTCCTCATTGTTAATTAGCCTGTCATGGAAAACTCGTTGTGCTTCATGGATGAACAGGCGCATAATCTGTGGCTTCTCTCGGATTATTGTGCTGTCTGCCTGCAGTATTCCTTGCAAGAAAAAAAAAACAGTAAACTATTTTAATACACTTATATCAAAACTACTAATGGCGTCCGTGGCTTAGGCTTTGCGAGCCCAACTTGTAATTTCAACGTACTGCTATTGAAACCTTTGCTGGCTGTGTGGATTTTACCATAGTATGGGGCGTTGCAGGTCGACCCAGCCTAAAATGGGTACGGGATGTATGCCCTGGGGAAATAAAGACGGCAGGCGTAATGCTGACAACATTACCCACCTTGCGCCGATTGGTCTTAAAAAATATGGGTGCTTTTCCCATATGCCCGATGCGTCTAAAGGCATGAAAAGGGATCTTTACTTTACTTTATACCTAAACTACATTCCACTGTAGGTAAAACTGTCTAGTGAAACCAAACAACCCAAAAATGCTTGTGTCAGTTCTGCAATGTCCTGTCAGTGATATGCAACCAAATTTATAGTAAAAGTGTAAAATATTGCATATTGAATCAAAATCCTTCTCAAATACATTTTTCGGTGACTAAGAATGCAGCACTAGCAAAAATTATGGAATGTATCTAAATGTGTTTGACATTTACTACTGTAAAATGAGGGAGCCGCTGTGGTGTAGCGGCTAGACGCTCATCTATGGATCACAAGGTTGTGGATTTGTGTCCTGATGGGGCTAGACTTTTTTTAAAAATGATACTGGCTCCTATGTCGACCTAGCCTCGAGTTGGTACCAGGTATAGTCCTAGGAAGTAAAGGCGGCCAGCGTGATGTTGACCACAATACCCACTGAGTGCAGATTGGTCTATAAAATATAGGTGTAGCATGTCTTATATGCTTGAAGGCGTGGAAAGGGATCCTTTACTTCTTTCTGACTGTAGAATGGGAAATAAAAACTTCCTGATTTGAAACAAAAGGCAAATAATATCTGGAAGATATACAGGCTCACAGCAAATTACTTCATACGGTAGCAAATGCTAGATGTCTGACTTACATCAAGGAGGCAGTATCCTTGTCAAGAGAGGATCTGACAGGCAAAGAATATCTTCATTATTGAAATATACAGCCCCATAAGTACAGACATGAGAATCATTTCTTCTTCATTTTCTTCCTCTTCTTTATATTTTCTTTGTGTATATACAGGGATGTGGGACTGTTAATAACTTTAGGTATACATATGTTGTTGTTATCGATCCAGCGGCGCATGAGCTTTCGCCCTTTGGCCCAATGCCATGTAGTGGAATTTGCATGTTTTCACAAGCTGTTCTTTTCCTCCGTACAAGGTGTTCCACTTGTCTGGTCTCGGAGGGAGTAGCGTTCTTCTTGTCTCACTGAGTTCTGGGCACTCAAAGAGATGGTGTTCAACAGTTTCGTAGGGGTAGGTACATAGCTGGCACTCTGGGGAGTGTTGTGGCTGTATTCTGTTTAGGTGTCCATTGAGTGGAGTATGTTGCATTCTAAGTTCGAAGATGGTGGCTTGGTCCCTTCTTGTTAGATGGTTAATGCTGTCATTAGGATCAGGGCCAGACATATGTCTATAAACCTCTCTTCCAGTGTCTCCCATGGCCCATCTGTTCAACCAAGTCTCCTTGTTTATAGCTCTTATCAGTGTTTTTGCTGTCTGGAGGGTTGTCGCTGTAGGTGGTTGTTCTTGTGTTGCTCCTTTCTTTGCCAGTCTGTCAGCTCTGTTATTA